GAGCGGTTATGGTCAGGAGCGGTATTTTCAAGGTAGCACCTCCTTGTGTATGTAAACAGGTTCCTCTTTGAGAGGTAAACTGTTCTGTTTTCCTTGATTCACATGTTTTAACTGTCTTAGGACTAAATCCTGCCCCAGTGTACAGCTTGACAACATAATCTTGATATTGTAACTGTGCAAACACACGCAAGGCCTAATTTGGCCGGTGGCATTCTCTCTCTGATGTTGATAAATGAGCAGAGGAAAAACCTGGAGTGAGAATCTGTCTGGCAGTTGTTCTGAAAAGCTGGCTTGTACACTCCCCATAGACCTTGTTTACTTAGATAGATAGCAAAGGACTTCCTGTAAAGTAGTTGAAAAACAAGTTCCAACATTTCCTGCTACTTCAGTGATCAGTCTTTTCACCTATTCTGTCCTTTCTATCTGTTTTGTACTCGTATGTGTGCTTATGCTTTCTGGTGTGACGTTAGAAGGAGCTCTATTACAGTGTTAGTTTTTAATGCCAGAGTCACTTTAGCTTAGGACTGTTGTTGGGAGAGGTGTATTTTAAGCCTTCTTTCCTTAAATTGGGATAAAAAATAATTAGGAGGTTGCTCTTCTCCTGCTCTCACTAACTTTTTGTCCAAGTGTTTGACTTCTGTCAGCTTGGTCAAGTGTGGAAGGTGAAGGTGCACCTCTGTTACTTCTGGAAGGGGATTTGGAACATACTTCCCACAGCAAGTTTGCCACCTGCCCCCACTTGCCTCTGCTCGGTTTGGAACCTGTACTTTGGGATTCCCTTCAGATGAAACTAAGTCCTAAGTTGCAGTCTTGCTGTGTCTAGGGGTTTGACTTGGCTGGTGGGCAAGACTAGACCCAAGTTTGAAATGTTCTTCTGGATCATATAGTGTGGACACATTAGTAGGTCTTCCATCTTGCTCTGAAGGTCTGCTCTTGGTGTATCCTACTACTTGCTACTGTAAGCACAGCTTCAGAAATGAAGATGTGTTTGTGAAGAGAGTTATTTAACAGGCTGCCAGGTGATGTAGGGCAAGCTAGATAGCAGAAAATCCATGCAGGCAGGAGCTGGTGTATATATGCTCATTTGGAGTTAGGTTTTAGGAAATACTGGGTAATCCAATCAGACTGCAGATGAGACTTTCTTTCCTTGGGAATTCTTTCAGCTTAATTGTTTCAGAACTGTGGTTCTGCAGTCTGATTCCTTGTTGGGTAGAGAATCTGCACAGGGCAGACATGTTATGAATCCTACTTGAAAGTTTGTTGGAGTTGGTCTGTCAACAATGAGGGGGGAAAAAAAAACAACAAACCAACTTTTGGAAACCAGACCTCAGCTGTTTGCTCGTGGTGTTCCTTATTTTCTCTTTGCATGTGTTCAGTTCTAGACAGAATATATTTCTGAGCTTAATGTGACAGATTTGCTTTAAGAGAATCTTAAAAGTTTAGCTTTACCCTCCCGTTACAATGCAGGGCTGACTTCTGATGCTTTTGATTCTCTAGTGAGCTAGTGCTTGGTCCAACTTCTAGCTGGTTTATGGTAAAAAGACATTTCGATGTGTGATGGGGATGGATGTTGGGAAGTGATTCTTTTCATACTGTTAGATCCAAACTTCTGGCAATAAGCAGTTTTTCAGTACTAGAGACTTGGCATGTTCCTCTCTTGCACCAGTATAACCCAGGAATTCCCAGCATAGCATGTTCTGGCTTTAATCTTCAGCCTAAGGTGAAGATTTAAAGTCCTCCCTGTTGGTCTTGGCCTGTAAATTTAAAGCATTCCTCTTTTTACAGAGGCTTTTAAAAAGTCCACTGCTGGTGATGTTTAGTGTAATTCTTTGTCCTTTTTTTCTCAGATAGCAAGTTAGACAACGTGGGCTGTGTAAGGAACTCTGGTCTCAGACTGGGTTGAAGTCTGTAAATCTGAGATGAATGCTTGTAGCACTCTTGGGTACAACCTACTTGAAAATAGAGAGGGATCTGCTGCAAAATATGGTTGTTAAAAATGGATGTGTAATTCACAAGGGATACATAATGGTAGGTGGAGCTCCAATATTTTAAATAGGAGCAATCTCTAGTCAGAAGAATGATGTCTGCAGTCTGCAGCATGGAGAACTTCCACTGATTCTGGAGTTTGACTTCATGGATATTAACAGTAACACTGTGAACTGTAAAGCAGGAGCAAGACATCCTAGGTGTAGGTTAGGGATTAGTCCTGGGGGACTGTCGTGGGGCCTCAGGTCATGATTGCTCATCTGCTGAAAGTGATGGAAGTTGCTTGTGACTTTTAGGGACAGTGGACTCGGGCTCTGAAATGGTTAATGTTCAAAGCTGTGCCAGGGGACGTCTAGACTTGATGTTAAGAAGCATTTCTTTACTGAGAGGGTGATCAGACACTGGAACAGGCTTCCTAGAGAGGTGGTCGATGCCCCAAGCCTGTCAGTGTTTAAGAGGCATCGGGACAATGCCCTTAATAACATGCTTTAGCTTATGGTCAGCCCTGAATTGATCAGGTGATGGACTAGGTGATGTTGCAGGTCCCTTCCAACTGAAATAGTCTAGTCTATAAAAACAGGAGGGAGAAAATGCTGTCTTGTCAGGTCTTTTCTCAGGCCAGGCCTCTTTTGCTGACAGTGCCTCTTGCTTAAACCTATTCCATTACCTTTCTAATTGCACTTATGTGATAAAATTGTTTCAGTGCTGGAGCAGACTTTTAATTCTTACTGCTAGCAGGGAAAAAAAAAAGTCTTTACTTGGTATATGTTACAGCAGGAACAGGAACTGTAATATAAAATTCTGTATGGGAAAAGGTGGGGGTACCTTTAAGGTGTTCTCAGTCAGCTGTGCAGATTCTGAAAACACACTGCAGAAGTACAGGATAAAGTACAGGTTTACCTCTTTCTGTGACATGATTTTGAATCCTAGCAGATAAAGCAAATGTTTCTTGTGTGAAACTGAAAATAGAGCAGTGCAATAATGCATTTTAGCTTGTCCAGTCTTGGGCATTTGCCTTGCAGGTAACCAACCTTTTGAACAAGGACTTGCATTAATACTAAGGACAATATTAGTGATTTTTTTTTAAAGCAGGGTATCTTGGAGAATACTTGCCTCAGAGGTGTAATTGAAACTGGCTTTCTTAAACTGAACTCTTGACTGGGATCTGTGCTGGGCCCTGTTTGCCCAGGGCAGTACTCATGCTCTAGGGGAGTGTGATAACAATTTCAAATCGAACCGAAGAAGCATCACACAGCATGATGTGATGTTCAGCTTTCTCAATTAACTGCCTGATCAAATCACTCACTGTTGCAGCTTTTTAAACTGTCACACTGATACCAGCTCTTATGTTTCTTGTTACCTTGCAGGAAATTATTATAGAAGGTCCATGTCATCGGGATCACAGTCTGCGTATAGCTCCCAGCAGGAACATGTAAAATTCCCTGTTCTTCCTGGAAACAGAATTCATTCTTAACAGGAGGTGACTTTACAAAACTGGTCTGCAAGTGGTGCATTTTGCTACCCCACTTTTTTCCTTAGCAACCCTTAAATGGCTGCAAATGAATCCTTAACATTTTTAAAGTCTTCTTAGGGGTGATGTTGGGAAGTGAGATTTTGTGTATCTGTGTGATGCAGACCGCTGTAGTTCTTTTTGGTATTGTCAGGCTGGCTAGTGTGGCATCTCTGTGTAAATGCTGACTCTGGAAAGTGAGGTAGAAAAGAGAGAGCATGAGTAGGAAGGGGTAGTTTTGCAACCAAATAAATCTGTGTTGGCTTCAGACTTCATATGGCCCTCATAGGTGTTGCTAATAAAGCTCTACACCTCTCAGTTGGATTTGAAAGGACAGGTTGAGTGATTAATTCCCTCCCTTAAGAGACAGGGTTAAGGAAGCCTGGAGAAGCAGGTGATCCTGGGAACCTGGGACAAGGCAAATGCAACCACGTGGCTGTGTAGATGAGGGGCACAAAGTGGGGAAGGGTCTGGATGAGGAGAGCAGACCTCGCTTGGTGCCCTGGCAGAAAAGGTACCAGCTGGGTTGGGTTCAAGGCCTGGAACGTGAAGTTGAGGCCTGAACTTTGTGTTGGGGGCTACCTCTGCTTTTACATCTGCTCCTGCACTGCTGCTAGGTAGTGTGACAGACCCTGGACAAAGGAGTGTTGATGTGAAAGGGTGTGATTGATTTTTTTACTTTTTTCCCTAAAATAAAAGGAACTGTGTTTGGATCCAAGTCTTAACATCTTTTGTCCATGTTATTCAGCACTGTGTAAGTGCATGAGCTAGAAAATACAACTGAGTGATTTGGACAATAAATGGAATAAGTAAATACTGAGGGGGAAAAAAAAAAAAAAGGTTTAATTATCACTGCCAAAGAAATAGTTCTGAAGTTTAAAAAACAAACCCTGCAGCATTGCCCCTCAGTGTGTGACAGAGATCCAGGTTGAACTTGCAGCTTTCCGTGACGCCCGCTTGTGTAGCGCTACTATTAGCAGTTGGTTTCATAATAATATTTCTGTGCTTTATGTGGAAGGAGCCAAGTGCTGGTTTCAACTTACCCATATTTCTTACTACCTGTCACTGGCAAGTGATCCTGTGGCCATTTGGAGAACTGGGGTTGAAAGTAGTAAAAAAATCTTTAGAGCTTAGTAAGAATGAGGCAAACTCCTGCATTCTGTAGGAAGATAAACTCAATATCAGAATTGAAATGTATATGGCCTTAAAGTCTTGCTCTTGCAAGGCCTGTGCTGAAATAACATTTTAGAAATGCCAATAGCTCTGAAGACTCTTTGGCTTCCTAGGATGTGTTCTGTTGGCTTGAGCCCACAGAGCTTTGAGGACGGAGATGCAGCTCGTGCGCTGTTTGTTCTGTCTGCGCTGAGAAGCGCGGTCACGTGCAGTGCTGAGCAAACACATCATCTACCCTGTCGCTGTTATCAACCTGGCACTTCCAGAGTAACCTGGCTTCATTTTCCTGAGGTCTTTACTGATGGATTAATATATGGAATCATCTCTGTCGGTGGCCTCCCTGTTGTATCACTGACACTGGCTGATCTCTTAACTGCTGCATTGGTGTTGTTGCAGGTTCAAGTCCAGGTCCAGCAGTCGCCGCAGCAGGTCTCCGCCCAGCAGCTCTCTCCACAGCTCACGGTCCATCAGGCTTCGGAGCAGCCAATACAGGTCCAAGTGCAGATCCAAGGGCAGGCGCAGCAGCAGGCATCCCAGACAATACAGAGTCAGTCTCTGCAGAGCCCCAGCCCATCGCAGCTGCAGGCAGCTCAGATCCAAGTGCAGCACGTGCAGACTGCCCAGCAGATCCAGGCTGCGGAGATCCAGGAGGAACACATACAACACCAGCAGATCCAAGCCCAGCTTGTGGCAGGACAGGCCATTACTGGTGGCCAGCAGATACAGATCCAAACAGTCGGGGCACTGTCACCTCCGCCTTCTCAACAAGGCTCTCCGCGAGAGGGAGAGCGGCGGATCAGCACTGCTAGTGTCCTTCAGCCGGTGAAGAAGCGTAAGGTGGATATGCCTATTACTGTTTCATATGCTATTTCAGGGCAGCCAGTTGCCACAGTGCTGGCCATTCCTCAGGGCCAGCAGCAAAGTTACGTCTCTTTAAGGCCAGACTTGTTAACAGTGGACAGTGCCCACCTGTACAGTGCCACTGGGACCATTACTAGCCCCACTGGAGAGACTTGGACCATCCCTGTTTACTCTGCTCAGCCACGTGGTGACCTTCAGCAGCAAAACATAACTCACATCGCCATCCCCCAGGAGGCCTACAACGCCGTCCACGTCAGCGGCTCGCCAGCGACGCTGGCTACCGTCAAGCTGGAAGATGACAAGGATAAGATGGTGGGAAGTACTTCGGTAGTGAAGAACTCTCATGAGGAAGTGGTGCAGACTCTTGCTAATTCGCTCTTTCCAGCACAGTTTATGAATGGCAACATCCACATTCCAGTGGCAGTGCAGGCTGTGGCAGGGACGTACCAGAATACAGCACAGACAGTGCACATATGGGACCCGCAGCAGCAACAGCAGCAGCCCACACCCCAGGAGCAGGGGCAGCAGCAGCAGCAGCTACAAGTCACTTGCTCAGTAAGTTAAAATTGCTTCTCGGTCTCAGCCTGTGATTAACAGCTTGTAAATGTTGTGGAGAGGGAGGATGTCAGCAGGCAGCTGGTGTCTAGGAAGCAGAGATGCATCTGTCCCAGTAGCCTGGGCACAATATAGGGCATTTGACTCCTGATAGATGTAGGACTGCACTGTGCTAATGTTGGTACATAATTACAGGATTCAGACCTTCTCAAAAGTATAGTCTTGATCTTTGTAGTGTAAATTAATAGATATATTCTCATTACTAGCTTCTTCATAACAGGTATTCCAAGGTCTGAAGTCATCTTCTGAGCTGTTCTAGGTGTTGTAGTGGACAGGCAGGGATGATTGCAGCAAAGTAAGGTGTGCAAATGTACTAGTCGCCTAGTTATCAGTTACTTTGTGTTATGCAGCTCTTGAAGTCCACAGCAGATCCAGTGCCTGAGAAAAATGTCGAAATCTGACTAGTTGTGAGCAAACTTCATGGCCAGGTGCACGTGTCTGTAACGCTGTGTGCTGCTGCTGGTCAGTGCCTGGTGTGCAAGAGTGCAGTAACGAGCAGTGGCAAGTAAGCATCTCTTCATAGTGCTTGGCAAACCTGGCAGCTGAATCTGTTGCTGTTTTTTTTTTAAAGGCTTTGTTGCTAACTTTAAGACATAGATTATTTTGAATTCACTTTTAAAACTTGAATAATTAGGGCTATTAATGGCCTCTCTTGTATGTGCAAATGGATGTAATTTATCTTTTTATTACCAGAAAGTGAAAAGTGATTGATCTGTCAGAGCCTGTTTTTTGCTGAATGGAATGAGGGGAAAAAATGTCCAAGTCTGCTAGCATAAATGTTGTTACAAATTCTTTCCAGTTTATAAATAACACTGTTGGCTTTATAAAGGTGTATATGCCCTCTGCTTCCATCAGCAAGCGCTGAGACGAGGAGGATGACTTTCTGTAGTCATGTCTGATTGTTTCTGAGTTGATTGTGGGCTGTAGCCCACTGAGGCCTTCACTGAAAAGGGCTCCCACATCTCTAGATAACTTTCAGGTGCTGGATGCCCTCTTTTATAAAGCTGTACTTTAAGCTACAGCTTATGGGTCTGGCAATGCATGGGATTTTGTTTGGTTGGGGTTTTTTTTGGTTTTCTTTTTGTCATGTTCAAAGAGCCTTCTGTAGCTCATCTTTTCCCTGCATTGGTACTTCAGGGATCCTTTTGTTGCATTCAGCTGCTTGAACGAACTAAGTTGATAGAACTTCTTGCCTTTCTGCTAAACAGGGTTTTTAGACTTATTCCAGGGTCTTTTAAGAGCATAAACCACATTCTTGGGATCCTTTTTGAGCTATTAACTCCAGAATTTCTTTAATGGTTACATGTAAAGCTTCTTCTAACATTGTATTCCTGTGCACGGTGGTCTGCGGTTCTTCAGTATCAGACACTTTCCTGATCCCAGTTCTCTGGAGTACTTGGTGTTGCATAAGCCCCCTAAATCAGGGGGGTTGGACTAGATGATTTTTCGAGGTCCCTTCCAATCCCTGACATCCTGTGATTCTGTAACATTCTGTAAATACAGAGGCAGGTCCAGGAGGTATGCTGGGGTGCATCCTTCCTCTGAGAGAACAGTAAAGCTACGAGAGGTGAATATCTAACTTCTGGGGATTGTCCCTCTCACGACTATGAGACTGAGAAAGAATTTACCTGCCTGCCCCACACTGTCCTCTGGCATTGTGCTGCTGTGGGATCTCGGCAGGCTGCAGCTGTTTTGCTCTATCTGTGAAAAATAAAAGTTAAGAAGCAAGTGCCAACTCAGCCGGCGTGTCTGCCCTCACACTGGCCAGGGTGTCACCAGGGCAGGTAGGAGGTTGCTGACGGAGGTGGTTGGCTCTGGAAAGCTTTCTGCTCTCTGAAACGTAAGAGTGCAGAGGCTCAGTCCTAGCTCCTGCAAAGTCACGGTGTCAGGTCACCCCTGGACTCCTGGCCTCTGAGGCAGAGGCTTGTGCTTGACAAATTAAACTTTGTCGCCATCTGCCCTGATCAAAGCTGGGCCCTTTCAGTCTAGTCTCCTAGTGCTGCTGCTGATGCAGGGGCTGATAAGCAAAGAGCTGTTAAGAGCTGATGCAAAATAAAAGAAAACACAACCAGAGGCAGTCAGAAAACTCCAGTCTCAGGCTGTTGCTGGCTTTGCCTCTTCAGCTGGTTTTTTTGTTTGCTTGTTTTATTAAGCAAGGTACAGGTATTGCTACAGTCTGTGCCCTTTTCATTATGGTCTCTAGTCCTGTCAGAGCAACTGACACTTGGCAGTAGCAGAGGAGAAGTTACTCCATTATAACACAGCCTTGTTTTTTGGGGTGGCTCTTAAGAAGGAGAAAGCAAAACTGTTTTGATGTAAGAATTGCTATTTCTAATATTCAGGGTACCAATGAGAATTTGACTAAGGGCTGTACAGCCTCAATTAATCTCCTTAATTGAGGTAGCCATGAGACTTTCTGCAGCGTGGGATTGAGCAGCTGTAGTGAGGAACACTGAGTGAGTGCAGCTGCAGAGCTCACTGCTCTTTCTGGATAGGTGCCATCGCTTGCCTGTGAAATAAGTTTCAGCTCGAGGTCGTAATTCTTGGTGACTTAAGGTCCTGCTGCAAAGTAAACTTCCAGAGGGTCTGGAGACCTTTTAGCTCTGCAGTAGGTCACACAGTAGCTGTTCACAGAACAGTACCTACTCCACATTAGCAGTATCTGGTAGTTTTAGAGCATTTCATTGCAACTGAATTCATGTTTTCATGCTGGTGTTCTAGTCTGTTCTTACTTTAAACCTCTTATAAATGAATTAATCTTACTGGTTGTTGATGATAAGAGCAGAGCATCTCTCTTCTGTTTGCCTGTTATGTACTGAATAATGAAGAGACCCTGCCCTTGATGGGCAGGGGTGGGGAAGGATGCTAGCAGTGTACAACACACAGTTGTCCCCAGAACCTTGCTCAGGGCAGTCTGGGTTTGGAGCAGCGATGGTCAGTAAAGCTGATGGCACCTTGCTGTTCTTCCCTGCCAGGGGCCTGCAGTCTCTTTAGCTGCTGTGTGCCGAGGCTCTGTCTGTGAGGGACCTTGGGCTGCTCTTGTTGGAGTGAGTTGATGGATTTTGGTGGTGGTTCAGGCTGACAGGTTGGCTGAGGTCAAGAAAAATGCATTGGAGCAAACAGCTTCAAATCAATAATCTGTTTCAGTGTTTGAGGGGAGACTAGAAGTTTGTTGTTGGGAGGACTTTAGCCCTATGAAGATCCTTGCCTTTGAACGTGCTGGCTGGCTGCTTAATGGTATCACAGCAAGAACAGCTCATGGCTCTCAGGTCTCCTGTGATGTTCTGCAGGACTTGTAAATGCATCGAACTGCAAGTTGTGTGGGTTTGCTGAGGGGGTTTCAGGTATGTCCATCCAAACTAAAAGTGTCCTCGGAGACACAGATACTCGTTTGCCAGCAGCAGTTCAGGTCAGACAGCAAAAGTTGTGTTCCTTGGCTTAACCTCTGGCTAGAGAGGAGTGTTGTAAAAGGCTGATACCCTGGGGCTAGAGGTAGTGCAGCATTAACTTGATTTTTGTCAAACTGTTGCATATCAAAGTGTGTATATAAACTGAAATATTTTATTTCATAGGCTCAAACTGTTCAGGTTGCTGAAGTTGAACCACAGCCGCAGCCACAGACTTCACCTGAACTTCTACTTCCAAACTCTCTGAAGCCAGAAGAAGGGCTTGAAGTGTGGAAAAGCTGGGCACAGACCAAGAATGCAGAGCTGGAAAAAGAAGCCCAAAATAGGCTAGCACCTATTGGAAGTATGTGTCATGACAACATGGCCTTTCTTTCCTTTCAAGCAGGATTAAGTATGACTAAAACGTTAGCTGTTTACTGCTCTGGAAAACACCTTTGATTAATCAGTGATTGTTTTTAAATGTAAACTTTGGTTTATTCTGCAATGCTAACTATTGCACACTCCCACTGCCACAGGACAGGCTCCAAGGGAGGCATTAGCTCTCTGCTGAGCCAACTTGAGCACCGAGGCTGGTAGCAGTAGGGAAGGACATGTATGGCTGTGGTGTGGCTGTGAGCGCTGGCCAGGCTGGTGGAGCAGTCACAGAGTTGCTGTTTTCCTTTTGCTGCAGGGCAGCATGTCATTGTGGACATGCTAAAAGAAGGCAATAGTCATGCAGTTGGCAGGGCAGAGAGTCTTCCTATCAGATTCTTGCCTGTTTATCTTTAAAGTAGATCTGACAGCTTAAGATCTTGATTTATGTCAGGTTTCTTTATTATACTGGGAGAATGAGGTAGTATTGGGCCTGCCAGATAGAATGGCAAAGCTGGAGATGTGGGAAATCATTCCTGAAAGATTGGGAAATAATATGGCTTTATGGCTTAAATAATATGGCTTTGTTTTGTTTTTCCAGGGCGTCAGCTGCTGAGGTTCCAGGAAGATCTCATCTCTTCAGCTGTGGCTGAGCTGAATTATGGTCTATGCTTAATGACACGAGAAGCTCGAAATGGTGATGGTGAACCCTATGATCCAGATGTGCTCTACTATATCTTCCTGTGTATTCAGAAGGTAGGGGGAGGGCAGCTGTATGTGCATGTTGTCAACATGCATTGAGAGGATTCTCTGTTATAAAAATGGAGACTATTAAGCTTCCTAACAATTTCACAAGAAAAAAAGTCTCTTTGCTTAAAAAAAAATAATTAAAAAAAATCATCAGCTTAAGTATAATTAATGCACAGCAATGCTTTCACCTACTGAATTAAGTTTATGGAGAGTTGTTAATAACTGAGTTCAGTATCATGGTGAGAACAGTAAATAGTTCTAGGTTTTTTGGCGAGGGGAGGGGGGTTGGATGATGTCTGAGGAAGAGGTCAGTGTCAAAACTTGATCTAGTTGAAGCTTTAACAGGCAAGAACTTAGCTTTGTGTGGTGTGGGAAGTCTGGGCTGGTAACATTAATGTGCTTTCTGGAAGAGCTGCAGGAACAGAGCTAAACTCTGATAGGAGAATTGACCATCTGTCTCCTTAACCTGAAGAATTAGTGTCCAAAGGACGGTCCTGTGAAATAACTTGCAGTGAACACACCTGAAACAAAAGGTGAAATCCAAACAGCTTTACTTTCTCAGATGGTTTTTCCTTTGTCTTAGCATTCCCATGAGAACTGAGATCACATACCCTGTACTGGCCTTTGTGCAAGGACCCTCACTCTTCTAAGCAGAATGTATTAGTCTTCAGTGCTGTGCTGTAAAATGCTTGGCTAACCGGATACAGGGGCTCTTAGGATAAGGTCTGGTCTGAGGGATGTACTCACTACCCCTGGACTGGACTGGGTTGTGAATCTCTTCCAGTATCTCTTTGAAAATGGCCGAGTGGATGACATCTTCTCAGATCTCTACTATATTCGGTTCACTGAGTGGCTGCACGAAGTTCTCAAGGACGTACAGCCCCGCGTTTCCCCTCTTGGTAAGAACTCTTGTTTAAATACTTTAAAACTTTCTGGATTTTGGAATGTTTAAACTGAGCTATAGCATGAGTGTAGTCTGAATAGAAACCCTTTCCAAGTACTTGATGTCCCTAGGACAGCTCGTACTGCTCGGGGAGAAAGATGTAACGTCTGCAGTGAATGCTGGGGCTATTGCACGTCAGGCTCTAGCCCCAATTGTCCTTGAGGATTATTTGTCTTATCACTTGTCGCCCATCAGAAGGCAGATTGGGACTTTGTAACAGTGTCATGAGATGGTCTTACTTGGAAGCCAGCTGGTCCTTGATCTGAATCTAGCTTCCTCAGCTGAAGTACTAATACATCTGGCTTCTAATATGTATTGTTACTTTGGGAGATAATGCAGCACTGTCATGTTGCCATGTAGCCAGATGGATTTGGTCTGCAGGACAAACCAAGTGTCAAAGAAAAAAACAATGTGTGATTAGAGCCTTGAATGCTGTAATCAAATGCAGCTCATCTCAGCCCCGTGTTTAGAAAATGGTGGTAATAGGGTTGGGGGGACCCATTCCAGAAGAGACAGATCTCAACAGTGTTGCATATGAGAACTAGATTAAGAATTGTATTTTCAGGAGACAGAAACCTGGTTTCTCATTACTTCATTCCTCTTGATCTGATTAGACACCAGTGAAGAAGCTATTGCACGTGTTCAGAAAAGTAGCCGATGTTACAGCCTAGATGGCTAAGTAGCACCCTGAGTTTTGGAATCCTTTTGTCTTCACTCTGGCTGTTTGATCTGTGCTTTGTCATTCCACAAACCCTGGAGTTCATACTGCTGTCTGTTTATCTGTGTATTTGGAGTATAGTATTTCTCTTCTACACAAAGGAAAAAAAAAATATCTGAGAATGAAAGGATTACTCATGTGTCCGAGTCCATCACTTGGCACTGTGTGCTGACTAAAGCTGCGCACAGGGCCAAGAGCTGATTTGTTGCATTGGCCTGCCTGCTCTCACATATTATTGGATTAGGAGCATCTGCATTGGAGTCAAGCCATTAATTAAAAGCTGTTTAAGTGCATATTTATTTCTCTCTGGGCTGGGCTGTGTTGGCGTATTGCAGAAGCATACTCTCCACAACTAGAGGTTGACATATGTATACAACTGTACCTGCTATTTATAAAGTTATTTGCACAGTGGTGAATCTTGACATAAGTGAGAATCTCCTCCCCCTCTTCCCCTTAAGATTCCTGTGTTCTCCAGTAATTACAGACTATAAAATGCTGCCTGTGTTCCTGCTGTGACTGTCTCCTGGCATGATGCTGACTTCTGATTATTGCAGGTTATGTCCTCTCCAGTCATGTAACAGAAGAGATGCTGTGGGAGTGTAAGCAGCTAGGAGCTCACTCCCCTTCCACCTTGCTCACTACACTGATGTTTTTCAATACAAAGTAAGTACTTAAGTCTTTGGGAATCTTGGGAAATAAAAGAACTTCAAATACCTTTACAGGGTTGGTAGGAAACGGCTGCACTGGATTTGGGCAGAATCTTGAATTTTGAATGGTTGCACACAGAGCCCTCTTGCAGCCCCTTTGGGCAAAGAAGCTGCAGTACAACAAGGGAATGAGCTAGCAGAGGAGAATTGTGGCTGTTGCATGTTTTGCTGCTGGAACAGTCTTTAACTCAGTGTTGGTTTGAGCTTCAGCTGGCTCACGATGAGTAAAGATAACTACCTCACTACTGGGACTTTATCCTTTACTTGCCTGTCAATGTCCCATGTTCTCTTCTTGCTGCTCAGATACTTCCTGTTGAAAACAGTAGACCAGCACATGAAGCTGGCCTTCTCCAAGGTATTGAGGCAGACCAAGAAGAACCCATCTAATCCCAAGGATAAAAGCACGAGTATCCGCTATCTGAAGCCTCTTGGCATACACCAGGCAGGACAGAAAGGTAGTGTCTGGAAGTTTTCTGTGGGAATATTTACTTACTGGGCTTAAGGGAAGTGGATGAACCTGGAGATGTCTGCAGGTAGGGCCATGGGAACATGAGGCTCTGCCAGTTGCCTTCAGTTTAGCAGCGTGAATTTTCTGTGTGTTCTGCCTCAGAGAGCACAGTGCTCTCTAATAATAATGGGCCTGGGGGCGTAGCTTGCCTGAGGCACACAGGGCTCCTCAGGAGCTGAGGGTAACTTGGTACTTTTGGATTTTGTGGGCAAAGGGGCTATTCAGTGTAAGTGCTTATGAACAGAGGGAGAAACTTCTTTGGGAGGGCTTCTCTTCTCCTGGCTCACGTGAACCATATAGAATCCATACGTAAGTACAGTCTGCCCTCTTCATAGCACAGGTTTGGGATTTGGCTGAGACACTGCAGTCTCAGCAGTGAGATTTCTCTTATTGTGGGCACAGGTAGAGCAGAAATGGAAAGAAGGATATGGATAGGTTGTGTTGTTCAGAGGCCTTGGGATGAAGCAGGCTGTCCCTGTAATGCTTTGGGCGTTTATAACCAGGTGCCTCTGCCCTGGACCAGCCGCGTGTCTCTTGCCCCCTCTGGCCTGGTGACAAGGTGCTCCGGGCACTGAGGCCGTACGGCACCGCGCAGTTTGCTGTGCTCATACAGTGTCTGACAGACCCCTGGGGGGCTGGTTTGTAGTTACAGATGACATGTATGCAGAGCAGACTGAGAACCCAGAGAACCCCCTGAGGTGTCCGATAAAGCTGTATGACTTCTACCTCTTCAAATGGTGAGAGCTCCTCGTGGTGTGCATGGTTGCTTGTTTGCTGTGACTGTTAAGATGCATCTTGTGGCCAGCCTAGTTCTCAGGGTTGTGTTTTATTGCTGACACAGTTTCTACATTTGCATAAATTTACTTAAATGGGGAGGGGTGTTGATGTGAGAGGGTGGGATTTACTCTGATGGCACATAAGTGAACTGGTGTGGTATTTCCAGAGACAAATCCTGATTTGTGAACTGGCTGCTCTTAATCTCATACCCAGTCTGGAGGTTCGTTGTGATGGCATGACCTCGCTGTTCTGCCTGTGACTTGCAAGCAAGTGATCTGGAAGGATCTACTACTTGAGATGAGGTTAGGGTCCTATTCAGATTGGCTTCTGAACAAAAATGAGGACTTGCTATGGAGACTGAAGGGCGCCTCAAGGACTTGCCTCTAAATTGTGATGATTCCAACAATTAATGTAAACGTTCTGCTGCATAGGTGGGTCTGCAGCTAGCCTGGATGTGAAAACACCCCATCCTTGCTTCACTCTGAAAGACCTCTAAAGCCATCTGTGTGCTATACTTACTAGTGTGAAATGAAAATTACTTTCCTGTAGTTGTCACCATGGCTTTTTAACCTTGGGATGGCCTAAAAACTTTGGGACCACTGATGCCCCTATAGATGTAATTCCATACCTTCATGTCTCATCAGCCAGAGGTTCACTGTCAGGAATTGTGAAGCCTGGGGTGAGGACAGTGATGGTCTCTCTCTCCCTCCCAGGACATTCTGTTAGTCTGGTTATTTCTGATCTTCCTCATGCAGCCCCCAGAGTGTGAAAGGCCGGAATGACACGTTTTACTTGACACCGGAGCCAGTGGTGGCCCCCAACAGCCCTATCTGGTATTCCATCCAGCCGATCAGCAGAGAGCAGATGGAGCAGATGCTCACCCGGATCCTGGTGATACGAGAGATTCAGGAAGCTCTTGCCGTGGCTAATGCCAGCACCATGCACTAAGGCATCCTTCTTGGCTTAGAAGGGGTGGGGTGGGGTGACAGGGGAGGGACAAGCAAAGATAAATTGTACAGACTTTTACACTAAAGGAGATGCCTAAGTTTTTGGTTTTTTTATTGGTGTAGTTATGAAGCCCTTTTAGGCTTCTTCTCTTTAAAAGAATCTAAAGGAAAACCTACCCATTGTGTATCCTACCCAATACACCAAACTGTTGGAAGCATTGGAGGCTGCATATCCCCTGCGAGCTGGGAGCTGTGGAAAGCTGCTGGTTGACTCTGGTTTTTTTTTTATGATGTAGAAAACATGAACTACAGGATTGCCCTGGATGGCTGGGGCCTCTGTCTCCTTGGAGCACGTGCAGCCTAGAGGGCACAGAATGATGGATGGACCTGCTCAGCCAGTGGAGGAGAGGCAGGCATCTTCTTTTCTTGTGCTTGGACATTAATTTGCTGTTATCTTGGAAGGAAGAGGAGAGAGTGAACTGCAATTGTGATTTATACAAAAAAAAAAAAAAAAAAAAGCAAACCAACGATTTCTATTCAGACCTTTAAGTGACATTTTTAGATGTTAAAATGTTAAAAGTACAAACTTTACCACACTCTTCTTTTTTGGCCTAACATTGAGGCCTTATACCTTGAGGCTCCTGTGCCTGATGGAATTCTTGTAACATACACTTGTGTATCATATAAAGATACCACCCTGTTTCTCTTATGTATTCTTACTCTAGTTGTTTATTAAGAATGACGAGCACGTCTTTTCAACATGCCATTGAACAATGTGTCTTTATTTGGGGAAGAGTGAGCTGTGAGGGTGGGGGGGGTCATTATACAAAGAACAGTATGCAAACTGGTTGTTTTCATCCCTGTTTGTGCTTTCCAGCTCAACTCCGCTGGACTTCTTTCACCCCTATAAATTAGGAAGGTAGAAGGGGATTGACTTCTGGTGAAGGACCTGAATGTCTGCTTGCTGATGGAAGCTCAGTGTCAGGCTAGGAACATGGGATCTGTGAGACCAGATCAGACTGTCCTAATGTTCTGTGGCCAGCCTGTGAGGCTTCACCCCTAGGCAAATCCCCCTCTCCCCACCCTGACAAACGTATCACACCAACAGCATGATGGAGGGGTGTTGGAAGGAAAAGGCCTTCCAGGAGCAGCACACGGCTTACTCCTGCCATTTAACAGCCTTTTCACAGTTTTTAACACGGCTGTGTAGCTTCTGGCATTGTTCATGATCACAAACCCCAGCCCTGTAGCCTTGCCTTGCTGCATCTTCAATGGTTGCTGTATATCATTAACGAGTAGCCTGCTCTTTTGAAGCCAGCGGGTAGCCAACCGTGCTTGAAATGGGAGATCACTCTAGCCAGGCTTGTTATTTGTGCCATGAGCTTCTTGGATGCAGAGAGAGGTCTCTGCTTCTTGAACTTGTCTTCCCTGCTTCTCCATCTCATGTCCTTTCCCTGTTCCAAAATATATAGATACATATTTAAATATATACTACAGTAAAAGAACTTAAACTTGTGTACAGGCAAGCAATTTTTCTGAAGCTTCTGTTGACCAGCACCTGTGTGTATTGAGAAGGAAGGCCCGCCCTCTCTGTTGGTTGTGCACAGGGTAAATGATGAGAGTAGCCATGGTGTTCCCTGTCTTTGTGCTCTTGAGCAGTGTTGAGGTGTGTGGGTTTAGAGAGACTTCAAACCTCTGGTGCTTCATATTGACATTGGTGTTCATGAGACAGCAGAGGTGCTCGAGCTGGGTGGCAGTACGAGCAGTTGGTTCCCTGTGTAGGACTCTGCTCAAGTAAGTGCAGAGAGGTGACGTAGCAACGCACTGGTGTTCACTAATACCTGTACTCGTAGCTCAGTGTCTGCCCTTGGAGTTATGCCAGGGGAAAACAGCCAGGGGTTGGTGCCCAGATCTCGGTGGGCAAGTTGGGAAGATGGTGCCTGGGTGGTGTGTAGTGCTGGTAACATTTACCCTCAGCTCAGACCTTGGGTGCCAGCAGCTGCCCCCTGGTAGGGTGGCTGTTGGGATCACCAGTACTGCCTCAGCTCTCAGAAGCCTGTAATCCCTTTACCATATCTTAGTGACTGGAATGTCCATCTCTGGCCCCAGTTTAAGTGTTGCATTGGAAGCTAGCTCCAGCGTGCCCGCACCTCAGCGTGAGCCTGCTGCTTTGTCTGTCTCCATTGGAAATGCAGTGGATGTTGAAGTCATCTGCCAGATACCCAGTGTACTAATTGCTTCATTAGGTGGCTTTGGGAGTCACCTCTTCCTCTAAACATTGTCAGAAGCTAGAATAACCTGACAGAATATTAGGGCAGTTCCAGGTTAGGGGTGAACAGATACTTCAGCTGAGCTTTCTGGGGAAACAGAATTCCGTGTTACCTTAAAATTCTAGATTGTGCACTCTCCTTACTACCCTTAACTGCAGGATGATCTGAAATCTTTGTAGGGGAAGAGTTCTCCTTGATCTTGGAGTGTACCCCTTAAGAGTGGGGCAGCTTGGTGCGTGGTGAGCTGTGGAGATCTCCTAACGACTGGTTTTGTCCTGACAGCCCGAAGTGTTTCCATTACTTTCTCATTGTTCAGACGTACATAGGAGAGGGATTTGCTGACGCAGAAGTGGACTGCTGTACTGTTCTGTACTGTCTCATCAGAATGTCCACTCTGTTCACTTCATTCCCTATTTTTAGAGACAATCGATATACTGTGACTTAAGGATTATTTTCCTGGACCTGGCTTCTAGTCTGGCTCTCTGGAGCTAGTTTAAAAGGTACAGTATTTCTTGAATATAAATACTGTGTTCTTTGATAGTGAAGAACGTGATCCGCTCCCTTTTAGGGGCTCATAGGAAGACATGTGCACAGAGTGGCACAGAAGAGTGCTGTGGCTTAGGGTTGCTATCCAAGTTCTGGGAACTGTTCCCAGTCAAACATGTAAAATAGCTTTTTAACACTTTCCTATAACCAGCTTGACTGCTGCTTAAGGGCATTCCCCCTCGGCCCCGAGAGTGCCAAACTGCTAGCTCTTGTCCGCGTGTATATATTAAATGAGAACTCTCTGTGCCCTCTGCCTTTTATGAGACAGGCTGAAAATGCATCCATCTCTAAGTACAATAAAGCTGAGAAGAATCAAGCTGGAGACCCTGCGTTGCTGGTTTCGAACTATGCCCATCTCGTCTCTGTGGTGTGAAAGGAACCCTAGAAAGCAGAGCGTGACTGACTACTGCAGAGCACCTCACGTTCTGATAGGAGACTCGTGTGTTGTCCTGTCTCTTGACACTAATAGCGTAGCTTTCCTAAGGACACTTGTAGCCTCTTACACACTTGTCCACGGCACTGTTAGATTTTAATTTGCTTTCAAGAGTTCAAGTATTTCCCCTAAGTGAGAATGGCTGAAGCAGCGGAGAGCAGACTAGAGGCTGGTTCTTCACTCCTGTCTAGAGTGGTGAGTCAAGGGAACAGCCTTTACTCAGTAACTCAGCAGGGCTCTCATCTGTTGGCTGCTTCACCCCAAGAGATCTTCTGGATTTTCAATGGGAGACAAGGTCTGAAGTAGTTCCTGAACTGTTCTGCCTTGGACCAATGAAAATAAGACTTAATCTGATCCCTAAATAAGAATCATCTTCTGCACCATTGTTCCTTGGGCAGAAATCAAGACACTTGTTCTCAACTGTGTCAGGGCTACTCTCTGCCTTGGTGTATGTAGGATGGATTAGGCCATCTTCAAGCCTCCTGTGCCATGGTAAGAACAGACACAGAAGTGGTAGAGAAGAGCCCTCTGAGTGGGCATGAGGTGGAGGACTTGCTGATACTCTAGTTGCTCATCCTCTTGCTGATCTGAGTGCTGCCAGACACTGATTGACTCTGCACAGTCTAACCAAACTGCATTCTCATCCAAGTTCAGTAGTGACTTACTTGCAATTAGTGTTTAAACTCTTAAATCACTGTTAAAGTGGGATATAAACTGTCTTCCACAGGGCTTTTCTCCCCATCTTCTTGCTGGGGCTGCTCCTCTCAAATACTACAGGGACCGTACCTTATCCTGATGTTTCAGCCTGTTGTGTTTCACTGGTGCCAATGCACAGGGAAGAGCCCTTCTCAGCTCGAGCATCTTCCTACCTTAAGGAGCATCTCAAATCATCTTCCAGAAGTCTCGCTGACATGCTGCCCCAAAAGCTCTGTAGCGATTGCTGTGTCCCCTACTTGTCTGTTCCCTTTGTTGTGTGGCTGCAGCTCGTCTCCCAGCGCTGCAGTCGCTTTCCCTGTATAACCTCGCGCATGGCAGCCACGTTTTCCTGCTTCTCTGTTCTCGTTGGAGCTCATCAGAATGGGGAGGCAGATTGAACTTACTCACAGCAGCAATAAACCTTGTCTAGAACTCGAGAGGGAACTGCAGGAGAGAACGAGGTGGAGGGGATGTCTCAGAAAGGCAGGGTCCCGTCGCAGCCCAGAGCCTCGCTTGATAATGAGTGTGCAGCCTATATGCAAAATACGTCTTGTCTGTCCCTCCCGTGTTGACCCTGGTCTAAACAGCACGTGTGATTGGCATCCTGCAAAGTGACCTTCAGAACTCTCCAGTAGCTTTGCCCCGTGAGTAACTCACACTACAAATCATTTTAAAGAGATGCACTCAACTATTTTTTTAATTTAATTTTACTCTTATATTCTCTGCTCTTTGTAATCTGCTTGGAAATAAAATGTTTTTCCCTGCAGCCTTTGTTGTAGTCTGTTTGAGAACCATTAAACGCTGCCTGGTGTTTCTGCCGGAACAGAAGCCAACTTGCCTGTTTACTGCTGTGCCCGTGCTCTAGCGTGACAGCCGAGATCGGCGTGTCCCTCCCAGGTAGGCTTAGCAAACCTTTGTTAGCGCTGTCCTTGTTTCAAATAAAGGGTAGAGAGACCTGTTGAACTGATCCTGGGCTGGCACCATGCCTCCCCTTCTGCTGCTCCTGGGACAGGTAACGCTAACTGGAGAGTGCGTGTCCTTGGCAGGCGGCGTTGGGATGGGGATCTCGGTGCCTTTACGGGTTGTTGCTTTCCGTGGTGTGAGCCCAGGTGCTTTATTTACTGCACAGGACTGAGCTTTTCTTACAGCTCCGTAGCCTGAGGCAACTGCAGACAGTGGGAAATCGGTGTCTGGATAGGTGAAACCAGCTCTTGGCTGAGAATCAACCCAGGAATTATATAAAGAAGTAAAACCAGGGTGAAATGCAATCTTTTCTAGCAGACTGTCAGGGAACGAGGACTGACACCCTGTGACCTTCAGGGTGTAGCGTAACGACAGCGCTGCTCACAGGGCTGTGGGGAGGAGGTGGCCTTGATGTTGGCATTCGCAGGAACAGCAGCAGGATCCCTACCAGTCTCTTGGCTTAAAGTTTGAAGTGGCATTGTGGATCCTTGTTGCTGCCTCTTAACTGTGCAAGGGCTGCCACGTCTGAGGGGACCTGGAGCGTGAACATCCACTTCCCCACAGCAAAGGGAATGTCCCTGCGCTGAGGTGTGCGCTGTCCTGCTACAAACAAAACCCCCATCTCATGGGAAACAACCATAATTCAGAAGCTGCAGCCTCTATTCCCTGCAGATTACTGCTGCTGAGACCAAACGAGCCACCCAAGTCCTGCTTCTGGCCCTAGCATGGTTCAGTCATTCGGGGTTTTATCAGCATTAGCATCTACCAAAGCCTTAGCTTAACTGGTCTCTCTCTAAACTCTGTACTGTCTTTTGGAGAACGTTACTGCGACCAAAACATGTCAATCCAAACC